CTGAACTTGGGGGAAAAATATGACCCACTGGGAGAAAGATTTCTGGGAAATTTAAGCTAAAGGGAAGACACAATGACTAAAGTTGGGCCCTGTCATGGGCCTGACCTGGTAGAATTTGCACACATCTTGTCTGTGACTTCATAGGACTTCTTTGGGGTACAATAATTACTACCCCCTATTAAAAGCCCAAATCTAGGCGATGAAAGGGTACTGGACCATCTGTTCTAGTGTTTGACTCTCTGGAATTTTTCTCTGTAGTTACAAAGGAAATAGGATGGAAAGGAGCCTGGAGACCTCCTCAAGCTGATAACCGCCTCCCTGTGAGAACCCTCCAGAGGGCAGCCTGCACATCTGGGTTCCTGAGGCTGTAGATCAGTGGGTTCAGCATGGGGTTGATAACAGTGTTGAAAATCCCAATAGCTTTATCCTTATCTGAAAGTTTGACAGAACCCAGTCGCATGTAGTTAAAGATACCTGAGCCGTAGAATATGGCAACCACAGTGAGGTGGGAGCTACACGTGGAGAAGGCCTTCTTCCTGCCCTCAGCAGAGCGGATACGCAGCACTGCAGCTGCCACGTGGATGTAGGAAGTAAAAATGAGAGCCATGGGAGTACCTGCCATTATGAAACCCACCCCAAAGAGCAGCAGCTCATTAAGCTGGGTGCTGGAGCAGGAGAGCTGGAAGAGCTGGGGCAGGTCACAGTAGAAGTGATTGATCACGTTGGGACCACAGAAGTTGAGTGTGGATATGGCCACAGTATGAGTCAGTGCATTGCTGAAAGCACAAGCCCAGGACATGGCCACCAAGATCCTCTGGACTGTGTGGTTCATACGGGTGCTGTAGGTCAGGGGTCGGCAGATGGCCAGGAACCGGTCATAGGCCATGGCTGTCAACAGGAAGCAGTCCACACCAACCAGCAGATGGAAGAAGAAGAGCTGTATGAGGCAGTCTCCGTATGGAATTGCATGCTTGTGTGCCAAAAGCCGAACCAACATTGAGGGAATAGTGACACTGATACACCCCACATCCATCATTGACAGGTTCCCCAGGAAGAAGTACATGGGAGTGTGGAGTTTGGGCTCCACCAAGACAGCTGCCAGGATGCTGAGGTTGCCCCCAACTGTGGCCATGTAAGCCAAGAGGAGGAGTATGAAAACAAGTGGCCACAGCTCTGGTGTCTCTACCAAACCCAATAGGATGAATTCAGTAACAGTTGTTCCATTGGCCCTAGATTTAGGCTGCATGAGTTCCTTCAAAGAAATACCCAATGAGAAAAGGAATTAGACCTCTTGATGAATTATGGCAATTTGAAACGTAACTAGTAAGCTGGCTCTGAATTTGACATAGAAAAAAAAAAAGAGCTAGTGAGGATGACTTATATCTTCCATATTAAGATAAATATCCAGAGTAAAGAAATGCTTTCATACTGATTTAATAATGGCAAGGCAAGACACTAGAACAAAATGAAAATCCAGGAATAGAGCTAAAATTATGCAAGAGTTCCATATTAAGATAAATATCCAGAGTAAAGAAATGCTTTCATACTGATTTAATAATGGCAAGGCAAGACACTAGAAAAAAATGAAAATCCAGGAATAGAGCTAAAATTATGCAAGAGCTGACTGAGTACATAACATAGGCTGCAACCTTAAGTGAATGGGAAGACATTTTTT